TCTACATCCGACGCTTCCATTGCCACTTCCCAGTAAGCATCTGCCTCTATTTGCTCTCACGGATCATATAATTTCTATTTGGAGTATTTTTTTTTTTTAATTTCTGAAGAGCTAGTGAATTCTGTTAATAACCTGTAATCTTAGAGATTTATAGAGAGCCCTGACAAATTATTGAATATTGGAATGAAATGGATCCGAATAGCGTGAAACATATATAGAAGACTCATATAGCCGTCCTGCACCCAAGGTGTGTCCCAGTGGTCTTAGGTTCACATCCCAATGGGAGGCAAATAAATTACTACATTAGGTAATTTTTTTCATATGCCTAAGCCTTGGTAGTCAGAGTTATCCCGGTACATGTGCTAGTTGAAGCCGGAGGTACCAAGTGCCCAGTGGAGTAGTCGAGGTGCCGCAAACTACCCCGGACACCACCACCATCAAAAATTAAAAAGTAACTCATATAGCCATCCCAATTAGTTTGTAATTGAGGATTCATTGATATCTTTGGTGAGATCTATGGAATGGTTTTTCTTGTTTGCATATGAATGCATTTTTGTTCAAATTTGAGATTGAATTTGTTATATTATGCTAATGTTTTAGGATGAGTGTGGAGGAGAGGTTCAAGATTATTAGGAGTATTGGGGAGGAATGCATACAGGAGGATGAGTTGATGAATCTGTTAGCAAAGAAGCCGCAGCCCGTCTGCTATGATGGTTTTGAGCCTTCTGGTCGAATGCACATAGCTCAGGTACGTAGATGTGAGTTCCCCGAGGGCATTCTAACTTACAGGAATGAAGATGATAAAAATCTTGCCATTTGCAAAATGTCTGGATTGCACAATGCATGTGGCTTATTTTGTTTAGAATTCTACTTTTTTTTATTAAGGTTTGTTAATTCTACTTGAACATGACTGTTTTTCCTGTTCTCATGATTGGTAGTTGTAATATACTTCTTCCAGATGGAGCTCTGTTCACCTGTCTTTGTTCTAAGGGTGGAGATTGACTAAAAAGTCCCAATGAATTGTTTGCGTGTCACACAATGAAATTAATTCATGATCAATTGCTTATACTGACAAGCCGTTACATAAAATTATATTTTATGGCTTTCTTTCTTCCTGTTACATTAGTACAGGATGGCTATGAAATTTTACGGGAGGAGCTTCTGTGCAGTTATATGTTCTTTTAGCATGTTGTGACTTTTTTTCTATTATAAAACTTCTTTGCTTAACAGGGAGTTTTGAAGGCACTCAATGTCAACAAACTGACTTCTGCCGGCTGCAAGGTGAAGATCTGGATTGCAGATTGGTTTGCACAGCTAAATAACAAGATGGGTGGTGATTTGAAGAAAATTGAAGTTGTTGGCCAATATTTGATTGAGTTATGGAAGGGTGTGGGAATGAATCTCGAAGGGGGTCAAGTGGAATTTCTGTGGTCTTCGAAAGAGATTAACTCTAAAGCTCATGAATACTGGCCTCTTGTTATGGACATAGCTCGAAGGAACAAGCTTCCACGGATTTTAAGGTAAAGGCTAATGCATCAAAAACTCTCTTTCTTCTGCTAAAAGGAGCATTCAGTTATTACTTACATGTTTTTCTTCATTCTAAGGTGTTGCCAAATTATGGGTCGGTCTGAGCAAGATGAGCTGACCGCCGCCCAGATTTTTTACCCATGCATGCAATGCGCTGACATATTCTTCCTTAAGGTAATCTGTTCTTATGAGTATTTTCAAAAAAATTCTTTGTTCAATTATCTGGATAAGTTAAATATAAGCATCCTTTGTTGGACCTCTAAGGCTCTATTAGGAAAAACAGAAGCACCTTCACTGCTATTCTTATTTTAGGATGCAAAGTTACCCCTGTTATCTCATTTGAGACCTAGTTCTTGCTTGTCTTGGTTAGCCCTGTAATGAAAGTTGACAACCTTGTTCTTGCTTGTCAAAGTCAATGAGTAAAAAAGCATTATCAGTTGTTTTAAATTATCTCCATATGCGTAGAGCTTGCTTGCCTTGAGTTTCTAGTTCAGTGGCATATGCTTCTTATATGTACAGATATAAGAAAGCTGCATAATATTTTGTTTCATTTGTTGCCTATTTCTATGTCTGTTTTTGTTCAATCTTCTGTTTTAATAGTGGTCAATGCCATAGTGGTGATTATTTGTTTTAATTATTCTTTTCCAGCTAAATGTGGAATTTTGTCTTAATAGGCTGATATCTGTCAACTAGGCATGGACCAGCGAAAGGTTAACGTACTTGCAAGAGAGTACTGTGAATGATACCAAGAGGAAAAACAAGCCTATCATATTGTCTCATCGTACGAAGATCATTTTGTATGCTAGAATTCGAAAACTCTTTTCATTGGACTAACTCCTTTGTTTAATGTGTTTGTTTTCTTATCATATTGGTGTGCAGACATGCTCCCTGGTTTGCAGGAAGGTCAAGAGAAGATGTCAAAGAGTGACCCCGCTTCTTCTATCTACATGGAGGATGAAGAGGTATTTTCAGATTTTACCTCTAGGCTATCTAACTATATACATATGGAGTATTAGTTACATGTAACACCGTGCTACATTTGATTTTAGGTTGAGAGTCATTGTTCTTAATTAACAGGTAGTCGTCGTTGCCACTGATGTTCTAATGAACTGATGTATTTTTTTTCCTTTGCCATGCTTGAACATCAAAGGCAGATGTAAATCTCAAGATAAAGAAGGCTTTTTGTCCACCGAAGGTTGTAGAAAAGAATCCATGTCCGGAGTACATCAAGTATATTGTCATCCCTTGGTTTAATGAATTCAAAATTGAGCGAAGTGCTGAGAATGGTGGCGACAAGTGAGTCATGCCATGCATTTATTCATATCCATTCAGCTGATTTGCTAACCAAAGTACTGTTTTTTAGATCATCTTTTGTTTTATTCTCTTTCCCACACTAGGACCTTTAAGAATTTTGAAGAACTGGCTGCTGACTATGAAAATGGGAACTTGCATCCTGCGGACTTGAAACCTGCACTATCAAAAGCAATCAACAAGATATTACAGGTAGATGAATACATCTTACTGGGCTGATAATTGGTATTTACACCAATATCTTATGCAGTCCCTGTTTGAAGTTTAATATATATACATTTGCAAATTTCCTCTTAATGTGAAAAGTAATCTTTTTATAGTTGGTGACTTGGTGTTATTACCTCATGATTAATACAGCATCAGCACCCTAGAATAACTTCTTTGTCTGTAGAGTATTTTTATATCTTAAAGTTATAGTTTGAATTTCAAGGTCCTTATTGTTTATACTGAGCGTGATCAATCAGATTGGCAATTTAACATCAATTGATAGTAAATTAAGTTTGCGCACATGATGGCTTGTATCACATGAGCTTCAGATGGTATAGTTAATGTTAAATAGGCTACTGTTACTCAAGATCAGGGCACCACAATTTTTTTTTTATTTTTTGTATAGTTTATATATTTTTTATTCCACCTTTCTTCAGTTGTCCTCCTGACTCATTTAAATTTTGTTATGCAGCCGGTGCGTGATCATTTTAAGAATGATCAGAAAGCCAAAGACCTTATGAAAAGGGTGAAGGTATGTGTTCTAAAAGTTGCCTAAATGTTCTGTTTTGGATAAAATGTCTCTTTGATGTTATCACTTGAGGTCAGGGTATGCTTTCTTTACTGAACTACTGAGGCTTCTCGGTACAAGAAAATAGAAATCTGAATTTTCGGCTGATATGGGGTCAGGTTTTACCTCTTATTTCAAAAGGGATGATTGATGGTGTAATTACATGGCTCAAATTGAATATATGTCTCTCCTAGACTATTGAGATTACACTTCTTCCCGTGCAAAAGATACAATTTCTAATGAATCGATGACGATGTCAAAGTGTACCATTTAGGTGATCCTGACAAAACACTTGTATCTGACCAATCACATAAACTCAATGTCACATTCGTCAAACCCTCTAAACCATTTAGTTCCATAGACCNGGAGTTGGTTATTGTGTGTGCCGTTTTGGACATTCAGAAACAATAGGCATTAGAATATCATTTTCTTGGCTCTTGACCATATCAAGGTGGCAAGTGTTCAAAAGTAGTTCTATGGCAGCTTTTGCATCTAATTGTTGCTGTTTTCTGATTTGCAGAGTTTCAAGGTAACGAGCTGAGGTTTTGATGAATGAAGTGGGATTAGGAGATGATGATTATGATGGCTGTCCGAGAAAATCCATTCTATTTTGTTTCTGTTGCATTCTAATACCTTGGTTTCCCACAATTAGAAATGTTTAGCATCAGAGGCACCCTTCATTTTTTATCTAATATTTCTTACTCCTATTGATATGTCCGGATCCGAAGACAATTTCAATTATAAAAAAAAAGGAATAAGACTAAATTTTGTGAACTGTGATTTCACAGAGGAAATGCTTCTGATACTCTAGTTAGCAACATGGTAATTTCCAAATGTCTATGTGCACCTCTCGTCCTCTGTGGTGCGTGTAAAGATTTGCAGGCAAACACAATGTTGAGCCCCGATTAACATATAAATCAAGACACGTTCAAGAAAGCAGCATCGACCAACTTCGTATCCTGTGTTTATTCATCTTTTTTGCCTTACAAGAAAGGACATCTACTTGACAATTCGAAGATAAGAACGTCATCTCTATGTGACTGAGTTCTATGAGGCAGGTAATTCTTGTTTTCCTAAGACCCCAAGCAATGTTAATTAGCTGGGCAAAGTTTATTAGCAAGAAGAAACCTTTTTACAAAATCTCATTCAATTTTTCATTGATAATGAGGTTGTCCAGACAGTGCCATTTTGCGCTTACTTTTCTGTATTGTAAACATGATTCATATTTCTAGTCTAGCTTGCGTTCAGTGCTGACATTCGAATGGGTATTGCATTTAATCCCAAGCAACACGAATTATGCTTACCCGAACATCGTCATCAACCACACACAAACATCCAGTTATGGATCTAAAGACACGGTCATGAATGGCAGGTTAAGGCATCAAGCTAGACTAGAAAAAAAACAATACAACTAACCACAGCAATTTAACACAAGCATATAATAGCAGCCCTTCATACATTAGCCAAGAAAGTTGAAATGGTGAGGAACCATTTTTGCTGGCAAAGAGACATAACATACATTGTTCTCAAGTATTCAATAAAAGGTAACATTCATTTCTGGCCCTTTTTCCTCCAGAGGTCACCAAACTTCTTAATACCAGAACCTTTTCGCTTCCCATGTCCAAAAACATCATCAGAATCATCAACCAACCCCGGCGAACCCATGTAACTGCCGTATCCTCCAACTGCTGGTTCAAATACATTACCGTAATGCTTATCCATTGATCCACACCTCTCAGATAGTCTTCTCCCGTTCATCTCCACGCCTCCCGCTAATACTGCTGCTGCAGCATCTGCAGCTTTCCTCCATTGTTCTGTTTGGACTCTCAGTTTCTTCATCTCATTTTCTAATGCCTCCTTTGCCTTTTCAGTAGCCTCAAGTTTCTCCTCTATATTAACTGCATTATTCTTGCTTGTTTCCAGCTCTTGTGCTACTTGGTTTAGCTTGAGGCTCGTTTCCTCTTCCTTGGCCGTAATGGAAGATATCTCTAGCATTTTTTCATTCAGCTCCTTCTTCAGGTTCTCATTATCTTGGATAAAAACCTGAAGCTCTTTTTCTTTCTCCTCCAACTTGGATTTTAATGAGCATATTTCTTCATCCTTCAAATTCATCTCTTCAACTGATGGTTTCTCCGGTTCAGCAACCGGTTTAGCAATGGCTGGTGGTTCAGCAGGCGATAGATTTGCACTTTTCAGGTCCTCTTCAACAGAGGGGTGGCTTATTTCAACATTTGGAGGAGGCTCCACTGTTTCCTTCTCAATTGGAACTTCAAAAACATCGGTTTCTTTCTGGTCATCATCTGGAATTTCATGAGTTGGGTTGTTGTTGTTGGTTTCTTGGATTTGCTCAGGCTCAGCAACAGTTGGTTTCTTGGTTTTCTTCTCAAGCTGTTCTTGAGCTGCTTTCTTTGCAGCCTCAGCTGAAGCTAACTGCCCCTTAAGAGATTTGAGCTCATCTTGTGCTTGCCCAAGTTGGGATTCCAAATCTGCAATTCTTGTTCCGAGCTTTCTTTGATTCAGTGGATCAGATTGAGTGCCTCGTGGCGAACGACGATCACTCAATTTAGGACTCCGGTCAGTCACTGATCGATGGTGTAGAGGATCAGAATCAGAGCTTGATGTTCTGAGTTGCAAAGGGACTCGAGGAGATTGCCTTTGAGGCATTTCTGATCCCCTGTTCCCTCAAAATGAAAAACAAGGGAAAATTATTAGACAAGGTTTTTTCAAGCACCAAAGAGGACACAGGATTATTCACAATTCATTTGATGGTAAAAGCTAAGCAATAGAAATTCTAAAAGTTTCCGGGGAAAAATAGTTACTCATGAATTATAAAATATTACTCATACTGTATTGAATTATTGATAGGGAGTCAAACCATCCAAAGACACTCACCTTGATCGTGGCATTTCACCTTCTTAAAATGTTCAATGATGCAATCTTCTAACACTTTTAAGTCTTGATCTGTGGAAGTGGAGAGGATCAATCAGTTTAGAAGTATATCAAAGGCATCAACTTCTCTATATATTGCATGGGAATTGAAAGTTGAAACTAATTTGAAGTTAAAAAATATACAACCCCAATAAAAGCAGGAATAATCAGTTAAAATATTAATGTCGAAGGAGAAAATAATAACAAGCATCCCCCCCACCCCCTAAGCAATTACAAAAAGTAATTAAAAATGAAAAGACAGAGTTTGTATTGGGGGGGGGGGGGGGGGGGGGTGATTTATTTTAATGGTAAAAGGAAGAAGAAAAAGGAAAACATTCTTTGCAGGAAAAGGAGACAAAATTGAACAGAGAGAGAAGTGAAGCACGCGTTTAGAACAAAGAAAAAGGAAAATTTCCAGACACCTTTATCCCCATGCATATGTCAATGTCATCGGAAGATGTGCACATTTTCTCATAATATTTCAAAACACTAGAAAGGGGTTTCAAATATTAGATTTTCAAATTGGAATTATTCACTTGAAACTTCGACCATAATGCATGTTTGTCTGAATAGACTCAAATGTTCAGTAAAATGAAGATCTACCAAATAATTCAGTCAATAATTGGTTTATGAAAAAAGGAGAAAATTTGATCTTTCTTGCTCTAAATGCATCATTTATTTAATAGGTAAAGAAAAAGCACAGGAAATGGTATTATGGCAAAGGAAGATAAAGTGGAAAATCAAAATAATGTCCATCTTTTCTTACCAGAAAGAATTCCAACAAAACTTCACCTTTCTTGATTATTTCTTCAGTAGTTGATTACTAAAAGCCTTCAGAATGAAGAAAGAAGAAACACCCAGAAAGCAGAAAATCAAGAAAAAGGCTTTAGCTTTTTGAGAATTGAATGTTTGTTGTGGATTCAAGATTGTTTGTGAATGAGGAGCTTACCAGCAATAAAAGCACTTTCCTTTTTTGAATGAGGAGAGCAACAGTAAAATTTCAGTAGAGTAGTAGAATTTTATACCCCAAGTAAGCTTAGGATAGATACTATAAAGATTTGAACTTTGAAATATTTGAAGTTTGAATTAAAGGTGGGTAGCAGAGAGAGAGGAAGAGGACAAGAGGGTAAATTTGAACGTTAAGAGTAAGGGGACACCAAAATAATACAACACTCTGTTATTGGGAAAATCTAGAGAGTCTATCTGTAACAATGGCAAAGCTGACCTTTTCTCTTTTTACTTTTCTTGAACTGTCCTTTTGCTTCTTTTCAAACCACTTACCTTTCTTGATTACTGAATCTGTGTCTCTGTATCAGCATCTAAATTTTGGATAATAGTGAAGGGCATTTGACCTTTGAATTTCACCTACTAATACCAAGAACGGTAAAGTTGAATGGGTAAATTTGCCCATAAAAAATTCGAGACGTGGAATCAGTCATTAATGTTTGTATTAAGATAAACTGTCACACCACATCTTTAAAATGCGATACTTTTACGAACCTTGCTTGAACGCGAGATACCTTATGTATCGAGTTATCCTTTAATACCAAGAAAAAATAAGTATTGGACTTTGAACCATGTAACAAAGGAACCATGTGTCCCTTTAGGTTTAACCTGTTGTAACGAGCTCCTTGACCACAGGCAATTTCCAAGAAACAGTTGAATACTGAATGAGTATATACTTTAGGCAATTTTTTAATGATCTTACTAAAGTAAGTCCCTGTTTTTCACTTTTATGTTTCAGAAGATAACTTTTACTACTCTTTTAGTTCAAGTAGTAGAAATGATCTTGTCTATGACCCAAATTAAAGAAAAAAGAAAGAAGAAAAAAATGTAATTTCATACTCCTTCCTTTTCTTTTATTATTCAATCATATATATTTAGTCTGTAACTTAGAGCAACAATTTCTTAATTAGGCAGACTTTGGTAATAAAAAGCCAATCTGTATCTATGCGTGGTTCTCATTGTAGTCTTATTAAAAGTCAAATTGTTTACCCAAAAAACGAATAGAGTTGAATTTATATGCGGTTCTAAAGACATGTTGTATAAATTGGTACAAACCTGAAAGATAAGTAGAAATATATCGAATGTTTATTGCAAAAAGGAAAGAAATACAAACCAAATTGATTAGAGAATGATTTATAAACGAGCAAGATGAATCAACATCCAAAACCCAAAAAAGGACAACCTCTATATATCAGTGTAATGATCTTTGAAATGCAAGTGTATGAATGTTTTGATCTTTTCTGCGGATGTTCAATCTGCCCTTACAAAAATGATACTTACTCTTAATATAGTGGAAACATTATGCTTTGGATATAATAAAAAACACATAGTGGAGATCCCATGATAGATTAACTAATTAACTTTTCCTTAATTCTCGCCGAAATTCTCTCCCTAAGTGCGGCTACAACGACTATTTGTCTCATAGCTCGATCTTGGTTGGCCTTGGTACTGATCGATCTTCGGATCTCGAGCTCGATATCGACTCGAGCTCGATATTGGCTCGAGCTTGGTATTGACTCGAACTCGATATCGACTCGGGCTCGGTATTGACTCGATCTCGATATTGACTTTGAGCTCAGTATTGAATCGAGCTCGATATTGACTTCGAGCTCGGTATTGATCGGTCCCTGAATCTTGAGTTTGATAACCTGGCTTCGGATCTCATCTTAATATTATGAAGTCAGCCCTTGGTCCATCGTGTTCCAATCTTGACTAATTACACGAAGGGCAAAACTAGTTTTGACTGTATACAGATAGTCCCCTCGTTTTTCGGGAAGAATGTGGTGAAAAACGACATGATTTCCCAACGATATGACTAGATATACACTGACGTTTGCATCAAGCCCGACTATGACGTACGTGATAAATGTCTCGTCGGTTCAGTTACCAAGGCATTAAATTTGCGTCAGACGATGGTCGGCCACTGTTGATTGTGAACCGTCATCGCCAAACCTATAAATAGCCCCCTTCTTCATTATTTTAAACTTTTTACTTTCAACTCTTCTCATTCTATTCTTTACAGTCCTTCGTCTTCTCCAAAACTTATCTATTTCCAGGTTCTGAAAAGTTCTTTGTTTGTTCTTCATCAAACACCGAAATATTTCAATTTTCCGTCTTCATTGTTCTTTGAAAACCTAGATGGCCAAGATATCTAAAACCGTTTCTCATAAAGAAGTTGCTTCTTCATCTCGGCCGGCGATAAAACGGTGGTGGAGCCACGCCTTGAAGAACTTGTTCTCGGAGTGTGTGTTATTGATTCTGATTTTAAAGTTGACAAACCCTCTTCGGTTGCCGGTCGATGCAAGCCGATATCGAGATACATATGCTCGATAACAAAAAGTCTTCTCGATACGGTGAAGAAAAACTGTAATTGGGTAAACAAAGAGGTCGTGATACCGACACCGGAGGAATCAATTACTACTTACGTGGAAGGGTATCTGAGTGTTTACACTTACCCTTTCACGCGGGGTCCCCTCGATCCAGTCATCATCGACTTTTGCAAGAAATACCAGGTGACCCTCGGCCAAATTCATCCTTCTTTCTGGAGGATCGTGATCTTGATCCGTTTTATTGTGAGCAAAATCGATGGGTTTCCCTTCACCCTCGACCACCTCATAAGATTATATAGCCCTCGACTTTACCGAAGTGGGCTGATAAAGCTTCAACATCATGCCACTAAGGTGTTCACCTCGAGTATAGATGAAGACAAGGATCGGGGCTGGATGGGCTGATTTGTTCGAGTGAAGACCTCGGACCTGATCCCGGCTGAGAGCATGCCATTCTTGAGAAATGGAACATGAAACGTGAGTACGGTCCCGTTTTAAATTTATGTTTGTTGTTTAACTTCTTCATCTTTTCTTATTAGCATCTTCCTTGATGCAGCCCGTTGCTTGGATGCCGGGAGCGATTCCCCACCTCGAGAACTAGGTCAAAAACCTGGTCTTGACGTCATTATTTGTCGGGCACTCATGGAGCAATAGATATCGAAAAAGATGCGGTTATGAGACCCCTATCAGGTGATGAAAAAATTCTACTGCCTATCTCAAAATCGGAGAAAGCGTTTAAGAGAAAAAGGGCCTTGGACTCCGAGGGTCAGAAACCTAAAAAGAGAGTGGCTCGAAAACCCAAGGTAAACATAATCCCTTTGACTATGGAGTCGGTCCTGAGTCTAAGGGATGAAAAAGAAGAAGAAGAAAATAATTCTAGGTTGTTGGCTCGTGCCCAGGATAGCACCGACACTCAAAATACTTCGGTATCGATGGGAGTTGATACCTCTCCAACCAGGCTTGAGGAGGTCGGGGAGGGGACTTCGACCCAAGTTCCCGAACCTTTGGAGACCAAGGATTGTTTTACCTTGGGGTAAAGAGACCGTCGAAGAGGCGGAGAATACCGGTGCGCAAACTGAGCTTGGGGCTCCCAAAGACGGAGGCAGTATCCCAAACGACCTACTCGGGGCGATAGAGATCGGAGATTCCCCCTCTTTCCCTTCTTTCTCCCAATCGATGATACGTGACGCTCAAGCTATGGGAACTTGTCACAGGGAAAGAGCTTATGGAGGGGAGGATCCTTTCCATGGTTATTCTATCGGTATAGAAGACATCACAGGTCCGGGTGACTTGGAGGCTCCGAAAAAGAGCTCGAGCGAGGTGTGAGTGCCTTGCCTTTTTAACGAGGCCCAGCAAGCCTTGAACCGGGTAAGTTCATATTTTCTTTGCTGATTTTCATACTTGTGTTTTCCTTTCCTTGCATAATCCCTTCTTATTTTCGTAGGCTTCTGCGCTTCATCACGAGGCATTTTTTCAATCCCGAAGGGAGTTGAGCCGGTACACGACCGAAGTTCGAAGGCTTACCGAGGAGAGAGATGCCTTAAAGCTTTTGGGTGGGAAGAGAGAAGGAGAAGTAAAAAAGACTTCAGGCTGAGCTGGAAGCATCTCGGAAAGAACAAACTGAGCTGGCCGAGTAGGTACAAAGAATCTTTGGTTTAAATGATATCGACTCGGAATTGATGGCTAATAACTCAGTCCCACAGGTTGAGCAAAAGTTCAAAGTGATTAGGCAGCTTCGTGCTGAAGTGGATGTAGTGAAATCGGAGGCCGAGGAGTGGAAGAAGAACATGGACCGCCTCACCTCAGAGAAAGAAACTCCCTGAACACAGCTGGCTTCGGTTGAGGTCCAACTCCGAAGCTTAAAAGAGAAAACCTTGGTGCAAGCCAAGAATATCGAGGAGTTATAGTCTCGATTGGGCTAAATGACTTTTGATCGAGAGAGACTGGCCTCAGAATGCCAATGCAATGGTGTCTATTTATCGGTCTGATGCTAAAGTTGCTCAGGTTCGAGCAAAAGAGGTTGTCGAGGCTGCTCAAGCACGAGCAAATTGGGTTGCTGAGCATGCTAGATGCCAATCTCGGAGGGAGACTCTAGAGGAGATCCACGCTTGTGGCTTCGATCTTACAATCGAGATCGAAAATACAAATGAGCTTGAAGTTGAAGCCAAAGTGTTGGCCTTTCCCGATGATGATATCAGGAGTATGAGCGGTTCTTAGAGTGAAGGAGGCCTCAAGGGTGAGGATGCTTCTCCTGGAGAGGACTAAGTCCTTTTAGCATTTTTCTTCTTTCTTTTAGGACCGTTTTGGTCTTTTGTAGAAAAACTTGATCGGGCCATGGTACTTTTGTAAATGATTTCTAGTATATATAAAACTTTCTTTCCTTTATGGCCTCTGAATCTTTTGCCTTTCTTATTAATTTATACAAAGGCCAAAAATTGTCTTAGCACGGGATAATTACTTGAAGGTCCGAGCGAATGTTCGAACTCGACCTTTCCTTGTAGGTAGTCCCCGAGTGAATGTTCGAACTCGAACTGAGATATCTTTTAGACTCGATGAATAAAGTTCAAGTGAAATGATTTTCTCTAATTCGAGCTAAGGTAGCCTTTAGGCTTTTTCGGTTTAGTGAGAGTGATTTATTGAACTCGAACTAAGGTAGCCTTTAGGCTTTGTGGTTAAGCGAGTGTTTGCTCGAACTCGAATTAAGGTAGCCCTTAAGTTTTTCAGTGGAGTGAGTGTTTGCTCAAACTCGAATTAAGGCATCTCTTAGGTTTTTCAGTCGAGTGAGTGTTTGCTCAAACTCGAATTAAGGTAGCCCTTAGGCTTTTCAGTCGGGTGAGTGTTTGCTCTA